GAGCGATTATAAAGATGAGAGTTTAGTAATATCGGATGACTTGAGATGAATCACTGTTAATACCACGAGTGATAAGTAACACTAAAGCGATTATAAAGATGTGAGTTTAGTAATATCGGATGACTTGTGATGAATCACTGTTAATACCACGAGTGATAAATAACACCAGAAGCGATTATAAAGATGTGAGTTTAGTAATATCGGATGACTTGAGATGAATCACTGTTAATAACACGAGTGATAAGTAACACCAGAGCGAGTATAAAGATGCAAGTTTAGTAATATCGGATGACTTGAGATGAATCACTGACTGAAAGTTCTACTTGGTTTAACCGTTCGGGACTATTTTAGAATTAATTGATCATAAATCAGATTTTGTTTTCTCTGCGTGTCCGATGGTGGAATGATGCGTCATCGGTGGATTCGTAACAAACTGTATTCAACGTACTGTCCAACGACTGCCTAATATTAATAAAGTGAAAAAGTTATAACCACAGTTGATGGAAGCAAAGATTACAAAATCTGAAGTTTTAAGATGCTGGGAAGTAAGTATTCTATTTATATAGAAGTATTTGTTTTTATATTTAGGCATTATCAAAACAACACGCCTTAGTCGAAATCAACAACTTCTCAGCTCTGGTATGTGATCTTGGAAGTCTGAATAAAACGAGGAAAGGAAAAGTAGGTTTTATGATTATATCGCTATCGTGTTAATATATATTTGTATCCTCGTGTATGTAAAATAGAAAATGTTTCTTGCACAATATCTAGGACGTTGGTTGAGGTTATAGAAGGAACTTATGTAACGTGTGAGCTAAAGCTGGCCACGTGCACCCACACTGGTATAAAAGTATGACTTGTAAAGAAGTGACTATGATTCGTTCATGTTAACTTGATATCAGACGGCTAGATGAACATAACGTAGTTAACTCGTAAAGGATAATTATCTCTGTAATCAGCATTTTCTTAGTGTCTTCTCAGTAACTGTACGTGAACTGAATTTAATCAACTTAACAGTTCTTAAAGTGTCTTCTCAGTAACTGTACGTGAACTGAATTTAATCAACTTAACACTTCTTAAAGTGTCTTCTCAGTAACTGTACGTGAACTGAATTTAATCAACTGTCTTAAAGTGTCTTCTCAGAAACTGTACTTGTACTGAATTTAATCGACTTAACAGTTCTTAAAGTATCTTCTCAGTAACTGTACTTGTACTGAATTTAATTGACTTAACAGTTCTTAAAGTGTCTTCCCAGTAACTGTACATGAACTGAATTTAATCAACTTAACACTTCTTAAAGTATCTTCTCAGTAACTGTACTTGTACTGAATTTAATCGACTTAACAGTTCTTAAAGTGTCTTCTCAGTAACTGTACGTGTACTGAATTTAATCGACTTAACAGTTCTTAAAGTATCTTCTCAGTAACTGTACATGAACTGAATTTAATCAACTTAACAGTTCTTAAAGTATTTTCTCAGTAACTGTACTTGTACTGAATTTAATCGACTTTACACATCTAATAATCATTGTAAAAGTTAGTAGCTTGTATATTCACCAAGGTCTAATATTTGATTAGTAGTTTATAACTAGTTACTAATTATTTTTCTAAATACTAACTAGTTTTATTGTATTTAGTATCTAGGTGTGAAAATAAACTTAGCTACTAAATATAACTCGAATTAGTTTATCTTAGACAACTAGAGCTAATTGCCTTAACGAATCATCATAATTTATTAACCATGAGTGTCACGTAAAATAATCAATGAATCGAAGTCACTATTAAATCAATTAATACCACAGAAATAATCAATGAATCGAAGTCACTATTAAATCAATTAATACCACAGAAATAATCAATGAATCGAAGTCACTATTAAATCAATTAATACCACAGAAATAATCAATGAATCGAAGTCACTATTAAATCAATTAATACCACAGAAATAATCAATGAATCAAAATTAGTGTTTCTCACTATTCCAACTCTCTGTTCCAACTGTGAGTATAATCGATTAATTGAATGTTATCGATTGACGATCCACACAGTTTATTGATCTTCAAGTTTCGCTAATCACCTAGTTTAACTAAGGCTACTAATGAAGATCATGAAAACTGTAAGAGTGTACATGTATTGTTTCTTTTGTGTAAGTGTGTGCGTGTGTTTTCTTTAGCAAGTGTGTTTATTTAATTGAAAATCACTTGTTCAAATATTTATTGTGTGATTTATGATTTTACACAGCTATTTCTGAAGCCTCATGTCAGGTACAACTTGGAAACAAACGAAAAACTTTTATTTGGAAATATCCGTGCGAACTTTTCTTGGAGTGAACCTTGGGTATATATACTTTTTTAAATAATATTTTTGATGCTCAGTTTAAAAAAAAGTTCTATTTTACTAGTAATTTTTTGTACAAAAATAAAATCTTCATTAATATGACTTTCCAGGTACTTCGTTATAATCACCACAATAAATTAATTTTTGTTTGATCACTGATACAATCTTTAAAAAGATCTTTATTTGGTCAGGTGACGAGTATCAAGTCCTAGCTATGTTTATCAGGTCAGGTGGCAAGTATCGAGTCCTAGC